AGATGTGTAGATCCTGCCAGTAGTCATATGCTTGTCTCAAAGATTAAGCCATGCATGTCTAAGTACAAGCTTGTACCAAGCGAAACTGCGGATGGCTCATTAAATCAGTTATGGTTCCTTGGAACTGAGTTACCTAGATGGATAACTGTGGTAATTCTAGAGATAATACATGCGAACAAGCGCCGACCTCGCGGAAGGCGTGCTTTTATTAGGAACAAGGCCAATCCGGGCTTGCCCGGTCCCCTTGGTGAACTCTGGATAACTTTGGTGATCGCACGGTCTAGCACCGGCGACGGATCCTTCAAATGTCTGCCCTATCAACTTTCGATGGTACGTTATGCGCCTACCATGGTCGTCACGGGTAACGGAGAATCAGGGTTCAATTCCGGAGAGGGAGCTTGAGAAACGGCTACCACATCCAAGGAAGGCAGCAGGCGCGCAAATTACCCACTCCTGACACAGGGAGGTAGTGACGAAAAATAACAATACAGGTCTCTCTCGACACAGCTGTTCCAGTCTACGTATAAAATTTAGAAAAAGTCCAGCGCCCTCAGTGTTAGCAGACGACGCTCATCAGGGATTAGCAAGACCGAGCTTTGATTTTTTTTTCGCTATCTCTGGAAAACGGCGAATTTTGGAAGCAGCATATAGTCGAATTTTCCTTAAGATTATGATATCAAGCATCGCCTTTGTGATTCAAATTTACATACATTTTATTAATAACCTACTATTCAACGGAGGGATTACGGTAAAATTGTAAATAAATTATCATAAAGTCTAATTTATTGAAATAAATCACCAGGAGTGAATGCGGAAGTACACAATCAACAGCGCCACAAAATAGTAAACAAACGTAAGCTAAAAAATCATCCATAGATTTTCACTTGTTTTGTTTACATAAATATTATTCGAGTTATACAATAATTACTACAAAATACATCAATATTATAAGATTTCATTGGTCCTAGTTTTATTATTAGGTGATGGTAAAAACAATGAATAATTTTCCGTGATGTATCCTGCCTTTTTCGATACGATCGGCTTATCGGTAGGCAACGATAACGATAGGAGTATGGATGAACGTGCTGAGTGCGGCGTCAATGCACGGTCCTCCCTAGGCCTAGAGCCTAAGCCTAGTTATTTTTAGTTAAATTATTTATTTATTTATTTAAACAAAGGCCCATTATAGTAGGTTTAATAGGCTAGCCAAAAACAGTATTTAGCAATTTGTAATTTTGCTATGAAAATAGAAGTGATAAGCCAAAAAATAAATAAGCATAGGCTACTAGGCCTAGGTATAATAATTATTCCATTAGCTTTTGGCTAATTAATTTTGAATTAAAATATTTAGCAAAATTCAGCTTTTATTAGCATTTGGCTAATGACAACTTAAACACTGTTACTGTAGTCTATTCAGTCAAAAATTAGTTGTATCAAACCTAGCCTACAGAAATCAGTGTTGTATTTTGTCCAATAAAGACATTCATGTAGATACATATATTATTATACACAGATATATACTGTATAGTCGCAATCATTTTTTTTTTTTTGCAGAATGGAGTTTCACGAAAAGGCGCTATCATTTCTTTGTTTTTGCTGTGGAAAAAAAAATCAAGGTGAACGATGAGAAATACAATTTGGATAATATGAACAACAGGCCTGCATCTTATGATATTAATAATAAAAACAATCCAAAGTCACTATGCTCCACATGTCATTCTCGTTATTGCAAAGAGCATACGATTACCCCTTTTGAGTTTACAGCACACAAAGAGTTCTGTTTAACATGTTACTTGTATACAAATCAATTAAGACCAGGTCCCAGACCAAAGAAGTTTATGATTAACTCTAATCCAAGAAGTGAAAGTGGCACTTTTGAAACATTCTCTGCTTTGGCTACGGTTAATCAACAGTTTCAAATTTTGCACAAAGGAGATGAAGTGTATCAATGCAACATTTGCAATAAACTTCTGTCATTGGATAGTGTGAAGACACCATGTGATCATTTTTTTGTGCTTTTTGCATAAATAAGCTATTCAAAGCAATTCGCAAGTCATCAATCCAATGCTTTTGCTGTAGTTACAATTTTAGCCAGAAAGATCTGAACAAAATTCCTCAAATAATTAAGCATACATTAACAATGGTTGCACTTTAGTGTCGCAAATGTAAAGAGCAACTCGTATTAAATGGAACAATTAACCACATTTGTAAAAGTAACAAGGAACAAGCCTTCTTCAAAATCCGAAACGCTGTTCAGGAAATTGAAGAGGCCAGGGCGGAAAACCACATATGTCCAACTGAACTCACAGATTTAGCTCATAAATTAGTACACAGAGAAACCCAGGTATCTAATGGAAAGTTGTCAATAAAAACTCAAGGACGGGTAAGATTCAAATCAGCTTACTTCTATTTTAATATTAATTACTGTATATTTATCAAAAATAATATTACTTAACTTTGACAATTTATTGTGGATTTACATGTTTTTTTTTTTTTTTTTGGTTTTTTTTTCACTATGTATAAAATTTGATCAATACATTACATAAATACTGTATTCTAAAATTGCTCTACCAAATCCAGCCACTAAAGATGGTTACAGAATCAAAAACTGAAACAGTAAAGGTGATTTCTGATATTGATAAGCAGAAAATGGATGCAAAGAGATGCCTAGGCATAATGAATGCTTGCAAAATTAATTGGAGTCAGCAACGAGCATTACGGAGGTAAAATAATACTTATTGATAATGCATTATCATATAATAAATCCTAAGTAAATAAAACAATTCAATATAATGTAACATAATATAAAGTTTGTTTTATTCAATTTTATTACAGTACAAAGAAATTAACATAAAATAAAAGTATTAAGAAATTAATTAAGAAACATATTATTACAATAATTATAATAGCTAAAGAAAAACAACAATTTTTCAGTAACTCGGGTAATAATACAGTAAGGTACAGTAACTTGTTGTTATGGAATT